CCCCCAGGGCGTTCCACCCTCAAACCCTAAACCCTAAACCCTAAGCCTTAAGAAGCTCCTGAGGTCTTCGAGAGGTCTCAGTGTCTGGCCTTCTGTCGGGAGCTCAAGGATTTGAGGGAGCAGGGAAAGCCGGTGGTGGTGAACAAGAAGCTCAGCGTTCTCCCCAACGCCTGGTGGGGCATCAAGGGGGGCTACGAGGTGGAGCTCGTGCTCGTTTACTTGGATCAATGCCGAGACTTTGAGGCGCAGTTGCCGACGGAGACGCGGGAGCAGATTGCCAAGGGGGACCAGGGAGCATTTGCCAACTTCCCCATCTATCCGGTCACACGTCAGAACGAGGACGACATGATCGGCCTGACTCCGCAACAGGCCCACCTTCTTGCAGCCCAGGCCGAGTACAGCGTCAGGGAAAACGAAGCCTTGCTGAGAAAGCTCCTGAGCTAGCAGCTCTCGATCTTGCATCCCGTGTCCCGTCTTTTCAAAAACAAAATGGTATCAGGTGAGATCTAGCTCCCTGCTACTCGAATTCAAGCTGCACCAGAAGTCGTGCTGCGCTCTTGTTTAAGATTTTGTCACACGGGAGTGGTAGGCTTACAGCTGCAGCACAAGGATGCTGCAATGACTTGCTCAGCACACATTGGAAAAAGAGTTTAGGGTTTAGGGTGTAGGGTAACGGACTACACAGCATCATTATTGCTCATGACGGTTTCATATGTTTGTCAGCACCATGATGGCTGTTGTTACTGCCAGTATCATGATGACGGTCATTGTTACTACTACGAGTATGATAGGCTTGTAGCTTATGTAGCATTCTTATGGCTACTTGGAGGATCATGGGACTTAGTAAGTGATGTTATACGTCCCTTATATGGGGTTAGAAGTATAGTTACCCTAATTATAACCCTACTTACCAAGTCCCATGATCCTTTAAGTATTCTGTTTCGGTCGGTTCTGCCGGAAGCATGGCCAAGCAAGCTGGAGCAAAGAATCGGAGCTGAGGGTGACGAATCGGAAGACCATTTTATCGAGACCGCAACAACCCGCTGTTTTTTGAATCCGGGGTGAGTTTAGGCTTTAGGGTTTAGGTTTTAGGGTTTAGGCTTTAGGTTTTGGGGTTTGGGGGGCGGGGGGTCTAACGTTTGATGCCATCATTTCATTTGGGAAAGACTCCCAGCCGAACTGGAGGGGCAAGGTCTGGTCGTTGAGGACTTAAAAAATATCATGGGACTTAGTAACTAGGGTTATGAAATTGGTTAACTATATATATATATATATATATGTAGACATGTATGAGAGAGACACCTCTAGGGTATATTTAGCGCCTCGATTCCTCTATATATTTAAATATTTCAATTATTTTAATTATTTGGGATGGCGCGAGAACCCAAATAATTCAAATAATTCAAATACCC